TCTTCAGTGCTGTTTACATTCCTTCGAATCGCTAAGCCGTAGTAGGTACTGAGTTTTTTGATCAAATTCTCCGTCAATTTACCTTTTCCGCCGAGTTTCTTAGCTTTTTTTACGGCTCGAAGTCGAGTTCCCATTCTTTTCTGAACGTGACCCACACACTCGCTCTTGACAACTGGTTGATCATCACCGTAAGGATTTACTTTTAGAAGAGCCGAAAATGTTTTGGAATCGCCATCGCCGATGTAATTGACGTATTTCACACCATGAAGCTCATCTGATCTCAAAAACATCGTTTTTATAGACTCGACTTCCATAGCTCCTGCTGAGTCGTCATGATTTTTTGTACAGGTTTCTTCGTCGTGCTCGGCTTTCCATGTTAAATATTCTTCAGAATTCGTTGATTTATTTTTCCAAAGTGCACATGCATGGCAATAACTACTTTTAATAATGAGATCGATGACTTTTCCTGTGTAGTATGCTATTAGAGTCGTTACGCCGTACAGTGATTTAAATCCCCGCTTTTTCCAAGAACCGTCTCCGGACACTTTGAACTTCATAAGGGACGATTCACGTTTTTCATTTTCACGTTTTTCTTCTTCAACGGCTTTCTTGCAACAATAATCGAAGATAGATTTCGCTGCGGAGTAGATGTGATTGTAAATGAGGTTATAAGTATCTTCCGAGATGCCACTGCAAATGTCCATATAATTACAGAATAAATATAATCCTTGTTTTCCAACTCCCAAGAGTCGCATGACGAATACAATTCTTCGATTAATTTCAAATCCAGTATTAATCATAGGGCCTGAATTTATCTGTCTTGATTCGCATTTACACTTGACAACAATTTTGAAGCCTAGCCCCCGGATTCCGGTCTCTTCAAAAGTAACATCTTGCTTGCAATTTCTACAAACTAGAATGTCCGACAGTGATGCAAACACAGTGAATAAGTCAATAATTCGATAACAAAACCTAGGATTTACAGTCACATTTTCAATGCTCGAAGTATTCAGTTTTTTTGCACTGGCACTTTCACTTTCGTCATTTGAACTGTTAGAAGCTGTATGTTGATTTCCATAATACCGTCTTTTACGTGGCTTACTTTGACGATATGACGGGTCAGAATGTGCGTGTTTTGGATACGAACTCATTTTTTTATACTACAGTACAAATTCCATAAAACACGTTGCAAGCCGACGCGTGAACCGACGTCAACTGGCGATAAACGATGATGTATTCAAAATGTACAGAACGGCTACTAATGTCGAAATTATGTCCACGTTTCTATGTAATCCCTCTGTCGGACAGCCAGAAAAATACTTCCTCGACTCCCTATAATACCCTTT